ATTCTCAGAATAAAAGGAGGGCATTCTTGAGAATGCTTTTCGTGCTGGACCAGCTTTGCTTCTAAACAGGCGCTGAACCTCGGCGAGAAGACAGCAGCATTTCTGGTTAAGCTGAGAGCTGCCCTCCACTCCAGACAGAACGAACTCATCCTCCGTCTCCCCGCATTTCAGAGGGGCATGTCCCACTGCAGCCCCCAATGGACCCAGTGGCCCACACCACACGGCTGCTGTGCCCTTCTCGTCCTCTTTCTGCTCAAGCCCCAGGGCCCCTGTCCCCACCCCTCCCATCTCGGGGAGGGCACATGTCCATCTGCTACCCACCTATTAATTTGCCACATCTAAGAAACGGTTCCCCCAGCACGCAGACAGTGAAATCCTGGGTGATCAGTAAGTCGGAGGAAGGGGAGCAGCACTCTGTTTTTTCACTTGGTGACCTTTCATTTCCTTCTTTGCTTCTAAATGCATGAAAAATATACCCACCTCGTCGTTGCTGCCTCAAGGCATATGCTAGAAGAGTCAGCACATGGGGTTATTGAAAGAACGGGTAAAGGGGGTGAAGAGAGAAGGGCTGAAATCTCAGTATTTTTGGCTGTCTTCTCACATATTTTTGAGTAACTTTTGAGTAACGAGCAATACTTTGGGATGTTTACTTGGATGTAAGGAGAGAAAGTATGTAATGAACTTGCAAAGATAAGGTGTGCCACAGAAACAGTGACCGCTGATAAGGAATTTGATTTAGTGTCATTAAAATAGAATGAAGCAGAAAAGAGCAAAATGATACGTAAATTAAGTAGTCACTAATGTGCACCATTTGTTGTGGTCCTCTCCAATTTTTTTTGGTGGTGGTGTCCTAAAGCCCAATAAAATCAAGATTAACACAGAATTCCTTTGGGTGTATTTATTGAGAGGACCTGAAAATTATTTTAATTAGAAATGGTTTTCCTGGAAAGCACCCAAGGTCCAGAAGAAGAGCTTACCTATCAAGCACCAAGAAAAAGCCTTAATGTTTAACTTTCCAGGAAGCTTTCTTTTTTTCCATGACTGGAGCCAACACTGCTCACAATATTTGCTAAGAGTCCCTTTACTTTAGTAGGACATCATGTTTCTCTTAAAAAGGGGGAAGTAGTTAAAATATATTCATAAGTGCACACAGATAGCATTTGGTTATCTGCGGCCACGGGAGATCAAAAAGACTTGACAATTGATATAATGAGGCCACTCTGATGATGCCAGTGATGTCATAGGATTTGCACCCTACAAAGCAGTCTCGTGTTTCTGTTTTGGCCTCTCTCACTAGATGTTAAGTTCACGGAAGGCAAGGCTCAATCGCTGCTACTCCAGCTGCCCAGCACAATGCACGTGGGATGTGCTCATTTTTTTGACTAACAACTGAGCACATGTATTGGGTTGTCGGAAAAGTCAAGACGCATTTTTGCAACGAAAA